CGAGCTCGCCGTGCGAGCGAGGCGGGGGCGCTGTCCCGGAAGCCCCGACTTGGTGTTCCAGAGAACCCTCATCTCCAGGACAGGAACCAGCTGGTACCACCCCAGCCTCCTGGATACTCGGATCCTGGGGTCTGTTTGACCGCAACAGAAACTCCCCTGTAGTCCCCAGGAAATTCAGTTCTGAAAAATACTGGTACAGCAGGCCGCCTGCAAGCCACAGAAACCACAGAACGTTCCCTCCCAGCACCCAGCCTATGAGAGAAAGGGGTACACGGGTGTTACGCGCCAAAAAACATGCATGGCCATGAGAAATTTCTTTTTTTTTTTTTTTAAAGGAAGGGATTTTTTTTAGATTTTATTTATTTATTATGTATACAACCTTCTGCTTCCATGCATATCTGCACACCAGCAGAGGGCACCAGATCCCTCATTACAGATGGTTGTGAGCCACCATGTGGTTGCTGGGATTGAACTCAGGACCCTTGGAAGAGCAGCCGGTGCTCTGAACCCCTGAGCCATCTCTGCAGCCCTTGAAAAATTTCTTGATTGTTTCCCAAACGTCAACCAATCAGAAACCAGCCCGTACCTACTGATGTAATCCTGTAACTTTTGTCTTTAAACCTAGCAGTAGACAGGGGACTTCACCCCCTCTGGAGGCTGCTACGTCTGGGGTCCCTCCCTCGGTGTAGGATAAATAATTTAATAAACCTCGTGCAATTGCATCGGTGATCTGTCTCCCTGGTCTCTTTGGGGATCCTTGTGACTCAGCACGACACTCCCCTTGGCCCGGAGCTCACGCCTGCCGTACTTAAAGCTGTTGCATGGTCGGATGTCCCCGCAGGGAAGTCACTCCGCACCCCGCAACACCCACCTTAGCAGGGCCTTCGCCTCTGCCCACCCCGACCTTGGCCTCTGTCTACCTGGGTTGCTGTGTAGTTTCACCCCCCAGGTTCCCGGGATTTGCTGTCTGCAGAGCAACGGCAGCGGGGACTTTACAAACCACAGCTCTGACTATGCCACTGCTCTCAGCAGAACCCACTGCCCGCCATCCCACTAGGCACTCACCCCAGACACAGGGGCATTTGCTCTTCCGTCTGTCTGGGCTGTGCCCTTCCAGATCTGAAGGCCACCGTGTCTCCGTGCGTCACGTATTGCCTTCCTAGGCTCATTCTCTGATCCCTTGCTGTTTTATATTTCTTCTTCTGTGTGGTTTTGAAACAGGGTCTTAACTGTGTAGCTCAGGAAACGCCCCACAGTCCTCTTGCCTCTGCCCCTGAGTGCAGAGATTACAGTTTTGCCACCATCACACTTGGCTTCTTACAGGTTTTCCTAGGATGACTCCAGCAATCCAGGGACACACCCTTTGCTCTCACTACAACCTGTGAATCATGCCAACTTGGTTTTGTGGTGCTGGGGATCCATTTCAGGGCCTTGTAGGCCAGGAATAGTAGAGCACACCCCTTTAATCCCCGCTCTCCGGAGGCAGGGGCAGGCAGATCTCTGTGAGTTCAAGGCCAGCCTGGTCTACAGAGTGAGTTCCAGACTAGTCAAAGCTGTGTGAGACCCTGTCTCAAGGGAGAGGGGGGAAAAAGTAATTTTTCCCGGCCCTTTGGGGACACTAGGCAAACATTCTGTCACTGAACTCTATCCTTGTTGCAATCTTTAAAAAAGATTCATTTTTAGTTATGTGTAAGTGTCTTAAGTGTGAGGTTCTGCTCTTCTGTGTGAGGGCCTG